GACTGCTAAAGCCCGCCGAAACTGCTGCAGGGTCTTTTGGCAAAGTAGGACACTACGAAGCAGCTTTTGGGTTGCACCTTACTTGGAGGGTCGGGGGACTTACCAAGTAGTTAGCTTTTAGAGTTATAAATACCATAACCCCAATTAGGGTCCCTTGTAGGGTACTTATAACTCTACTTACTAATTCCCCCGACCCTCCAAGTACAGGCTTGAAGGCTTCAGTTCCAGTATTTGGTTGAGCGAACTTCGGGGTTTAGGGTTAGGGGTTTAGGGATGGGGGTTTAGGGGTTTACGGCTTAAGGGGTTTAAGGGTCTAGTTTCTGTTGGCTGTTTTTGATTTGTGTGTCTGACTGATAGTAGGGCTGTTCTAGAAGCCCGAAGAAGTCGGATGCTTCGCCTGACAGATCTGCTTCCTCAGACCCCTTGGGCTAAGAGGGCTCGGGGCTTTAAAACTCCAAATGTTCAGGGGTTTAGGGTTTAGGGGTTTAGGGTTTGGGATGTACTTGGAGGGGCGGGGAAGTTACTAAGCAGTTATCTTATAGAGGCATGTATAAGTACCATCACCCCGATTAGGATCCCTTTCAGGGTACGTATAGCTCACTTTACTAAGTCCCTTGTAGATCCCCTTACAATCCCCTTTTGGATCCCTTTAAGGACCTACTTACTTAGTCCTTCGACCCTTCAAGCTGAGGAGTCTGATGGGCTTACGGGGTTGAGGCCGCTTATGCTTTTGAGGCGTCGGTCCGGTTCGGCTTTGACGAGATCTCCATGGAACACCTACTTAGCGAGCTGTAAGAACCATGCATCTTGGGCCTAGTAGAGAGTCCTTCCCATCGAACACCTACTAACCTAATATCGGGCTATAAGTAGCACGGATTCTGGACCTAGCAGAGAGTCTTATGGGTGCTCGCGAAGGTCTTGCCATGGTTTACTGTTGTTTACGGCTGAACGCCTAAACCCTAGATACTGAGGGGAATCGACGACCTTAGGGGCTCTGATGGTGACTGTGGGGCTGTGGGACCCCTGAAAACGATCATAGGTTTAAGGTTGTATGGTGTGCAACTCTATTCTAAGACCTAGAGGCCTGAGCCTAGGCTCCAAACCGTAAGTTCTAAACTCCCAAAATCATAAACTCCCGAAACCCTACCTTAACCTTGAAGAACCTACCTTTTAAGGACTTATATAAGGAAATCAGAATAAGGAGCCCTGAAAAGGTAAGTTCCTCAGGGTTAAGGTAAGCCCGAAACTCCGAAATCCTACCCTCCAAACCATCTGGCCGGGCTCCTCCAGTTCATCCCTGCGTCGCTTCTTGATGTCGGCCAGGGTCGCCTGTCCTTCTTGCGTCTTGACCCGCCTGGGCTCTAGGGTTTAGGGTTTAGGGTCTGCATGAAGGCGACATCAGCCCGGTTGGTTGGTTTGTTGGTTTAGGGCTGTAAAGCTGCTCACGCAAAAGTGGTGAAGAACAAACCATAAACTGAAATGGTGACTTCTGGCAAACTCTGAACCCCCAAACTCAATTTTAGAAACAGGGCCAGCTCTAAGTAATGAGCCGCAACCCCAGTTCGACGAAAGGATGCGTTCAGACTCGCCAGCCTCCGGACCCCAAGCCCAAACCCCTAAACCCTAAAACCCTTAACCCTATAAGCCCTATAAACCCTATAAACCCTATTTAAACCCTATAAACCCTAAGCTCAAAACCCCGAAACCCTAAACCCCAAACCCCTAAACCCTAAACTCAAAACCCCGAAACCCTAAACACCAAACCCCTAAACCCTGAACTCAAAACCCTAAACTCAAAACCCCTAAACCCTAAATGGGACAAGGCCACCAGTTGGGGTCGTCCCCTTTCATGCGCTCGAATGCGCCTCCTTTGTTCTCCTGCAAAGCACAGGCTCTTAGGGGTATAGGGCTTATAATTATACGGCTGCATAAGGGCATAGCGGTTTAGGGATTTGGGAGTTTCCGAAAATTCGAGGTACATTTTGGGGTCCTTTTGTTTTGGGTGCTATATTAGGATCCCCTGTTTTCGGAAATCCCCATTAAGGGTATATGAGGAGACATCAATCCTTAGCTCCAGGCGCATCAATCAACTTGGGGGTGGGACCTTACCCTAAGGGTCCAAAGGACCCAATAATTAGGTAGTTGGGTTTATGATACTATAGTTATGTAGGTAACTATTTGGGAAAGTATATCATAATTAGGTACTTGGACCCTTGGGGTAAACCTCCAAAATCGAACCGGAGATGAGAATGAGGGCCAGACTATCGGACACCTTTTGGCAGGTCCTCAAACCCTAATTAATTGTGTGCTTGCGCAGAGCCTCATGTAGAACTCTATATGCAACACCTGATAGAGCCCTGCATGCCTAGAATCCTGGGTCCGAACTCTGCAGACCTTTGAGCGTCAAAGATCGACACGGCTGGACGTCACCCAGACCATCCGATATTGTTTTTTGTTCAATCGAACTTCTGATGGTTTTGGCGCGAGAATCAACAGCGCTTGATGTCGAGGGTTTGCGAAGCCAAATCAAATCGAAATTATCAACACAGATATCCAGGTTCTTTTCATGTGAGGTCTGGTTTTCTATTGACTTTATGGAAAACATCTATTGGTGTTGAAGAAACGGTCCTATTGATATTGCCATAATAATATGACCTTGGCAGACTTCTGAACCCCTCCAAAAAGTTAAACTTTTAGCCTCCTTATTGGGGTCCGTATACAAGCCCAAAAAGTTAAAGTCCTAAGAGCCAACCAGAAGAACGCCAAGTGACTTCATGGATGGATTTCCACGCACTGCGCCCACGATGGCGCGAGCATCTGAAGCCCGTAGAACACTTAGACCATCCTAAGCCCTTCCTCTCTTCTTCGACAACCGGAACCCAAAAAGTTCAAACTTTCTAAAATAGAGCTAATATATAAGGCCAAAAAGTTTAAAGCTCCCCGGTTCACTATCTAAGCTTCAATGTCCTCAGCCCTAAACCCTAAAACCTTCAATGGCCTGAACATCCTCTCCGCCTTTGTTGAGGGATGCCTGATACGCCGCGAGCCTCGGCAATATGAGCGGTTGCATTGCCTTGGGAGGGTCGGGGTCCCAAAACCTCAACCTAAACCCCTGATTAAGCCTAAACTCCACCAAAGAACAGCTAAATCCAAAAACCTAAGCGCAGCCATGCGCCCCACACCCATGGAAATCAGGGCTTAGAGTGAACGCTTGCCATGTAATTCGCACTGGAGAATTAGATATCCCCAATCGACCGTTCCGTCTCCTCTTGTTCATGGATCAGTGCTTCAAGCGAAACTCAACGCAAGAAGGGAAGACATGCTACTGGGCAACCTGCGGCATGCCAGTGTGGCGCCAGTGTGGCTCAGATTTGGAGATCCCACATGCCGAAATGGGTGCACTTGCCGGCATGGAGGCTTTAGGGTTTAGGGGTTTAGGGTTTCCAGGGGTTTAGGGTTTAAGGTTTAGGGGTTTTAGGGGTTTAGGGTTTAGGGATGCTTTCCCCGTCATTCTACGGCACCTTTAGAACTAGCCCCCAAAACACCCGCAAATGAAGCTCTCAAAACGATAAACGGTACAGACAGGCTTGGCAACATCCTTCGGTCCTTCAGTAACCTTGTGAAAGCCTGCGTATGACTCACAGAAGGCTTTACGAAGCCCTCGTGAAAGACCATGAAACTCTATGAAACCATGTCCAACAGACCTGCATGAAAAAAGAGTGCATGCTCGATCCTAATCGTCACACGAACTGAGGGCCACGCTCTTCATCATCGTTGTTCATTTTCCTAGACGGACTCGGGCACAGGCGTAGGCTGTGAAGACTTTTGAGGGCTTCAAGGTTTGAGGTATTGGATGCCACCCTAATCCCTAAACCCTACTTAGGGTACTGCACTTAGACCCCCCAGCCAAAAATCAAATTTTAGCTGTTTCTTAAAGATTATAATAAACAAAGATAAATAGTCATTTCTAAGTGGGTCTTACGTCTCATGTACTTCGGACACCTCGGGCCGGACAAAAACCAACTTCCAAGCCGCAGACCGCTTTAGACCCGTGAAGAAACCCTTCAAAGGGGAAAAGGAGGGACCCTTAATGGGGAACCCTACCCTATAATGGGTTATATGATGGGTATATAATAGCTATATTAAGGGTATATACCTATAGGGGTCCTTATTGAGGGTCCCTCCTTGTACCCTTGGAACCCTGGAGGGAGACCTTCGGGTGACCATTTGGGCTCCTTGTCGTCCTTTAAGGGCTCCTTGAAAGTGTTCCTGTAAGAATTCATTTACGGGTTGTTCCCAACCCATACGATACTCACCGTAACCTTCTAAACTTTAAACCTTAACCCATAAACCCTTGACCGCCAAACCCTGAATTCTAAAATCCTAAACCCTATAATTTCCCAAACCCTATCTTGCAAAACTCTAAGCCCTCTCGATTCTAAATCCTAAACCCTAATCCCCCAAACCCTATCCTGAAAACACGAGACCCGTAAACCCCCAAACCCTACCCCAAGGGTCCTAACAAATTGGGGAACCTCAGAATTGAGGGTTTCTGAGACCCCAAAGAGACCCAAGGACTCTCCCTAGGAGATTCCGGACCCTCGTAAGGAGATACCTGGACACTTAGGGTACAGACCCTAAGCCCCAAAAGCGCTAAACCCCAAACCCCAAACCCTAAACCCTAAACCCTAAACCCTAAACCCTAAACCCTAAACCCCTAAACCGTGGCTAAACCCTGGGCCTGTCGCCCCGCCCAGCGGCAGCGCGGCTGCGGGCGGATGTGCCCAGCGGCTGATTTAGAGCCCACGAGCAAAGGCCAGCGTCGCCGAGTTTAGGATTTCCGGGCTAAGGGTTGAGGCTTGGGGGTTTAGGGTTTAGGGGCGGCTTGGGGGTGGGGGTGGGGGGGGTGGATGAGGATTTGTCCTGCTCAAACCTTCAAAACGTTTGCTCTTCAGACCTACTGCACGAACCCAAAACCCACAGTGGTGTGAGTTCCAGGCCGGGATAAGTACCGCGACTCCTCCGCCTCAGCAATTGGGGTCGGCACTTTAGATAGCTTAACCCCAAGGGTCCAATCATACACTCTCCTAAATCCTACCCTACATAACTACTATCCCAGAACCGAGTACCTGAATATTGGGTCCTTTGGACCCTTGGGGCAACGGAATTTAGAGTAATTATGGGCTTCGGGCCTAAGAATGGAGGACTTCGGGCTGCAAACTTTCTTTTGCTCCCAGAGCCCTATTTAGGAGTTTCCGAAATAGGGAATCCTGATATAGTACCCTAATTAGTAGGATCCTTATTATAAGGACCCCGAAATAAGGTATCCCTACTTTCGGAAACTCCCGTTTCGAACTTTGAAGGCTCCCATATTACACCCGAACGGCCTGAGGACCGAGTCCCCCCAAAACCGGAGCCGTGTACCTCCGCGACTATCCATGCTGCCTTCGTAGGGGTACACCTGAAAACCTCAAGCCCTATATCCCTGAACTCGAATCCCCCAACCCTGAACCCCACGTCGAAATGGCTGACGTCTGTACCCCTCCAAAAAGTTTAAACTTTTAGCCTCCTTATGATGGTTCAGATAGAAACCCAAGTTGTTAAAGTCCTAAGAGCCAACCAGAAGAACGCCAAGTAAACCCAAAAACCGAAACCCGAAACCGTAAACTCCAAAGCCCGATCGCTCAACCCTTTATCCCAGGCCCGAAACCCTAAGCCCAACCCCCCTAGACCCTAAACCCCCAACCTTACCTATAGTCTCCATTGTAGTTCCTTTGTGGGGTTACCTTTTACGATCCTTAATATAAAGCCTGGTTAAACCAAAAAAGGGAACTACAATGGAGACTATAGGTAAACCCCAAACCCTAAGACCCGAAACTATGACACACCCCTGAACCCAGACCTCCAGCACTTCGTTCAGCTTTTGAATAGCCTGCGACGAGCGAGCAATGACGGTTCTATAAGGAGGCCATACACAAGCTGGTTAGTTATATAAGTTTTACTAATAATTGTAAGGCCCCATGAGCGTTCTATAGGGGCTGATTGAGAATACTGACTCGCCGCTACCAGGAATTGTCCAGTCTTTTGGGGGCTTTAGGATATCTTTGGCTGTGTTCCTTTAAGGGTTCTTTCGAAGCTGCCCTAAACCCAAAACCCAAAACTTATAGGATCCTTAAGGGAGGGTGGTTCAAGGGGGGAGGGTATAAGGAATCCCTAGGGGACTGTAAGGGAACCTTAGGGAGTACTAGGGAGAATTAGGGATCACTAGGCTATATACCCCCCTTGGACCCTGCTCCCTTAAGGATACTACAAAAAACCCTAAACCCTAAACCCTAAACCCCTAAACCCTAAACCCCTAAACCCTAAACCCCTAAACCCTAAACCCCTAAACCCTAAACCCTAAACCCTAAACCCCTAAACCCCTAAACCCCTAAACCCTAAACCCTAAACCCTAAACCCCTAAACCCCTAAACCCCTAAACCCTAAACCCTAAACCCCTAAACCCAAGTGCAGACCTCAGCCCTGAAGCCCTACAGCCAAACACCCCAAAACCCTGGAGCCCGACCTGGGACCCCCAAATTTGTAAGCACGATTTACTTATTTAGGGTTTAGGGTTTAGGGTTAATCTAGGATTTAGGGTTTAGGGGTTTAGGGTTAATCTAGGATTTAGGGTTTAGGGTTTAGGGTTAATCTAGGATTTAGGGTTTCGGGTTTAGGGTTCATGGGACTTGGTAAGTGGGGTTATAAATAAGGTAACCAGACTTATAAGTAGTTGTAACCCCAGGTAGGGTACATATATCCTTACTTACGAAATCCCATGATCCTCCAAGTAAGGTTTAGAGCCTAGGGTTTAAAAATCATAGAGGGGCTTGGAACCTAAACACGAGAAGCCCTTGCGAAAAGATGCAACACAATAATAACATGATGCTTCGGTTTACTGAAGATAAGGAAAGCTTCGTAGAAGATACCTTTAACCAGCATACACTAGAAAAAACACTAGCATATATATATATATATATATATATATATACACGAGAAAATGTTTCTTTTGCCAGACCCCGAGCAGAAACAAATGCAAAAACAACACATTAACATGCACAGAATCTATAGCTGTAAACTTCTGCATCGTCGAACAGTGTCTAACCTTAAACCCTAAATCCTAATATGTATGTATATGCTCAATCCTAAACCCTTAACCCCTAAACCCCTAGGCCTAAACCCTAATCCCCTAATCCCCTAAACCCCTACACCACGAAAGCCTGAAACCTAAACCCACATAGCTTGTCTTAAACCTTTCCCCTAAAGGGTCCTAGTGCCTAATAGTCATATACTCCCCTAAATATTGAGCTACATAACTACGATCCTAAAACCGAGTACTTAATTATTGGGTCCTTTGGACCCTTGGGGTTATCTTAAAACAACGATACACAGACACCCCTAAACCCTAAACCCAGCGTAGTTTAATAAGATAACATTACTCTTAAAGTCGTACCCTAAGGGTCCAAGTAGTTCCTAACTATGGTTTTGGGTACCGAAAAAGGCCCTAAAGTCCTGTAATAGGGAGTACTTGGACCCTCTGCGTTAGAGAAACGAGCCTCTAGGATGGCTTCCTCCGTCGGCACGGTCGTTGAAGACTCCGGCAGCTGGGCAGCAATGGGCTCGGAGTTTGCTGTGGTGTTTAGGGTTTAGGGATTAGGGATGAAGGTCTAGGGTTTAGGGAGTAGGGTTTAGGGCCTTGGGTTTAGGGTTCGGTGTACTCTGGAGTTGTTTAAGGTGCTGATAAGGTTTAGGAATTTAGCATTGATTCCTGTGATGTTTAAGTTTTGGAGTTGCTGACTGAAGGTGCTCAAAGGGTTTCTTCTTAGGCCCTATAGCAATCTCATGAGAGCTTTGGTATGCGTGTTTTGGCGTTGGCTTTGCTTTGTTGTAAAGTTTGGGGTTATGAGGGTTTCTGAGTGTCTTTAGATGTGTGCATGATTTTGGGGGTCTTATGTATTTGTGTGGGTTTTGAAGGCTTCTAGTTCGGAATTTTGAAAGGAACAACAATGGCGAATTAACACAGCTTCCCGCCCAACGCATCACTCCTGCCCGATACAAACAGATGAGCAACCACCTGCCCGAAGGAAGCAAGCATTGAGTTTAGAGCGTCGATCTTGTCTGAAACAAACCAGAAAGTCCCTCAATTCAGGAATGTAGCTTATAGGCTGTGCTAAAGAACCCAACGACGTTTGATCTTGGAAATGACGTTAGAACCTCTACCCGAACCTCCTAAATTCTACCGAGGGAAGCCGGGCGCTCCTTGAAGAGAAATCTCGGGATCTCAGGGGTCTGAGGGTCCATAAAGTGGGAAATGGGTGGTTGTCAAAATTATGGTTTCTTTTGGGCACCATAAATATTAGGTGCCATATTACAGTAAGGACCCAAAAAGGGACCCTGATGTTGACAACCACCCAAATGCAGCAGGCCGAACTAGCGAGACTGCTGCAGGCGGCGCACAGACAACAGCACGTCATCTCGGACGTTTGGAAGCATCTGCTGCTGCGCAAGCTGGACGGCCGCCCGTTTACCCTCTGAACTCAACGTCTCTGTATGGGCGGGTTTTTGCAGCCGCCGCGCGTGCAGCTTGTACGCGCAGCATCAGCTGAGGCTCCACCGAGCAGCTGCGCGCGCAACGCTGTCTCTTGTGCTCTAGATACCATCCGACTAGTGTGTCTCCCACGATGCAGCCGACCAAGCTCTTCAAGGCAGAGGACAGAATGGTGTGACGCTCAGGTAAGACGTCGCCGTCTCGGGAGACGCGAGAAGGTCGACGAGGTGGTCGCCACCACCATCCTCCTCTTCAATCTCGGCAGGCTGCACCAGGACAGCATTCGCTTCAACGAACGTCTCCGGGAAAGCCTGGTCAAAATTTTGGGGGAAGAGCCCTAAACCCTAAACCCTCAACCCTAAGCCCTAAGCCCGTAACCGTAATGCGCTTTTCAAGGAGGTCTTGAAGATATGACAAACTGGCTCAGGGAGATCCTCAGGATCAATAGCGTGACCGAAGCCAGATGAGAACACGCACAGAGAATCCGTTTAGGGTTTAAGGTGTAGGGTTTAGGGTTTAGGTCAAGTCCGGAAGTGATCCTGCTCTGGGGTTTACGAATATTGTGAGGGTAGGTAGGATTGAGGATTGAGGATCCAATGTATTAGGACCCTTATTTGGTCTTACCCCACAGACCTTCATCCTGCCTTTTGAAACTCCCCTCAGCCTGGTGCATAAAAGCTCTTGGCCCCTAACCTTATGACTCAAACCCTATCCCTGAGAGCCCAACACCCCTTATCCAAGGAAGCTACCTTAAATCATGATGCTAATACTCGTGATACTAAGGCGAACACTGGCAACTAGTGATTAATACTATCAACAAGAATGAGACGTAGTAACACTTTGGACATAAACAAAGCCCCATGGTCTCCGGGATATTGCTTGATTACCCTAAGCCCTAAGGGTCCTAACACTTTGGGGAACCTCAAGATGTAGGATTTCTGAGACCCCAAAAAGACCCAAGGGCTCTCCCTAGGAGATTCCGGACGCTCCTAAAGAGATACCTGGACCTTTAGGGTAAACCAGTCTTGGGACCTCTGGCAACTTACAAACAGCTAGCCCGGTCTGCTGCGACGAACCCTAATCCCTAAACCCTATAAGCCCCAAACCTAAACCCTAAACCACCAAACCCTAAACCCTACATCACTGAGCCCCAAATCCTAAACCCTAAATCACTGAACCCCAAACCCTAAACCCGAAATCGCTGAACCCCTACAGGGAACTCCAGAAAGTTGGAATATGGTTTCATGGTAGGATCCCCTATAATTTACCTTAAAGGGGTTGCGATAATGATATTCCAACTTTCTGGCTTCTACTGTAATCTCTCGAAGATTAGGGTTTAGGGCACCTCCATCGACAGCGCAGGTGACAAGCGCTTCCTCAACTCAGGCACCTGAAGAGCTAAGTCATCGGAGACTCCAATATGCCTTGCGGTTTAGGGTTTAGGGTTTAGGGTTTAGGGTTTAGGGAGGGAATAGGCCGTACATCATGTTAGGGATTCTACCATAATTTAACATAATGTATAGCACATTTCCTTCATTAACTAAGGGATATTTGGAGTCTCTGGGTAATCGGAGCAGGTGGAAGTTGGCACGGGCTTAATATGCGGCGGGGGAGGGGGGTAGGGTTTAGGCAACTCATTATGTAAACACGGTCGGGGGACGTTGATACTAATTCAGGCCTCAGCTACTGTACTAGCTTATCGAGGCCTTCAAAATGGATGGCTTTGTGTTGTGTTTCATCTTGCCACGGGGTAGTTGGGAAGTCCAAGTGACTTGAACCTAGCCCAAAGCCCTAAACCCTAAACTTAACCCTGTGAACCCCACACCCGAAGGCCCACAGAGCCGGCAGAGACTGCCTACAGGGCTATAGGGTCCAAAGGACCTAACAAGTACGGTTGATGATATAAATCCTGCATTACCTTAAGGACCCTAAACTATGGGAATTATTGTATATTCCTTATTATGGGTAATGCAGGATTTATATCATCAACAGTACTGCTGTTTAGGATAGTCGCCTCGGGCTTAGGTGATTATATAGGTCTTTGGACCTTTCGGATTACGGCCCAAGCTTTTCGGTCCAAGCAGGGCCGCGTTTAGGATTTAGGGCTTAATATCTGGGGACAACAATCTAACCTGACTGTTTGCGTACCGGCACAGACATAGCCGTGCGAAGAATTCATCAGAAAGCCTTGCACACCCGCCAAACCTTGTAATAGCAAGGCTTTCCACTCATCTGACCAAGAGGCTTTACATAAACTGCACCTATGCCCCAAACCCTAAACCCGAAACCCATCAGACCATCCCTGTACTAGCTTTGGGGGACCTCATTTTCAGTACGACATGTACCCTAAAAGATGCCATGATGTAGGTAGTTCTACTAAGTTAGGCTCGCCTTTAGGGTATCCTTCGTAATGGTGCCCCTTTGGGGGACCTAGGGAACTACCCATGTACTACCCATGTACCCTAAACGGGCTTCGGTTTCAGATACCAACAACTTGGCTGACTTCTGAACCCTCCAAAAAGTTAAACAGTTAGCCTCCCTGTTATGGTTCATATAGAAACCTAAAAAGTTAAAATCATAAGATCCAGCCAGAGGAACGCCAAGATAGCAGAGCCTTATACCCAAAACCCAGTATAGATGGGCCCTCTTGGTGACTGAAGGCCGAAGACACGGTCCTTCATAAAGAGGTCCTATAGTTCGGCTTGAGAGTTTAGGGTTTAGGGTTGAAGGTCCAGGGTTTAGGGGTTTAGGGTTTAGGGTTTAGGGGTTTAGGGTTGAAGGTCTTATTTGTTATGGGCTTTTTTCCGACTGCATGTGAAGCTAGAATTCCGTACCAGGAGCTTGGCCTGAAGAAGACGTTTAGAATTGGTGGTTTAGGGTTTAGGGTTTAGGGTATATTTTGGCGGAGGCCCAGACCGACTTGTGCCGGCGTTCTTTGTGTGCGGAGTTGCACTGGTACCCTTGGTTTAATCGTAACAAGGCGAAATTTAAACCAGAGTTGGCAAGACAAGAATTTCGAACCCCTTTGCCGAAAGACATCTCACAGGACAGCTCTTCACTGAGACCGGCATGTTGCAGAAAGTCATCAACACATTAGAGGGTGCATCACATGGGCGGTTGTCAAAATTATGGTCCCTTTTTGGGTCCCAATGGTAATACGGCACCTACCTCATATTTAGGGTACCCAAAAAGGGTCCGTAATTTTGATACCCACCCACATATCTCCCGGTCTCCGAGTACGAAGCAGGTCTGCTCTGGGCCCGGCTCCATTGCACAGCAGCAAACGACATAAATCCGATACCCAATACCGCCTTACTTCATGAGAGCTGGCCGACCTTCCTCTGCCCTCCATCCGGCCTCGACGCCACTGGCCGGCGCAAAGGGTTCCGTTAGGCCAGACAAAGGGGCCAGTGCCGTGCGGATGATGTGTCCACTGGCAGGAGTAACTTTGGCTCCTGGCCCACCTCTCTGCTCCACCAGCGCGTGGACGCAGAAGACAAATCGAAATGAGACTGCGAATGTCAAGCCCCATCTCGCTCTGCCTAGGCTAGGTATCGACAGCGGGCTGCCAGGAGTGACGAGGCTGAGAAATTGAGCGGGGCCTTGTCGTCATGGCGTCGGTAGCATCGCAGGGTCCGCTGGTGGAAGATTTCGGGCTTAGGGCTTACGGCTAAAGGTTTAAGGCTTGGGGTTCGGGGTTTAGGGTCCTTCTACCTATAACTCCCGATTAGAACCCTCACCCTCAATCTAGTAATAGTACCCGTATGACATCCTGACCGTCCTGACCTTATACGGGCCATATACGAGGCAATATCTAAACCCTTAACAATATCAAAGGAACTCTCAGAAAAAAACCGTATAGAATCCTGAAAATCCTGATCGCCCCCCCCTAAACCCCAAACCCAAAGCCCCAAACCTTAAACCGATCGCCTCCCAATCAATCCCCTGTGCAGGGAAGACAAAGCCGAGGCTACTGCAACGCAACGGCAAAGGATGTCGAAATCGGTGGTGTTCCTACGCTGAAGCTTTTGGGAAAGGGGGAAAAGGAGGGTCCCTTAATGGGGACCCCTACCCTAAAATGGGTTAAATAATGGGTATATAATGGCTATATTAAGGATATATACCTAGGGGTCCTTATTAAGGGTCCCTCCTTTTACCTTTGGATTTTGGGAAAGGGTCTATAGGTTTTAGGGTTGAAGTTTTTGGGTAAGGTAAGGTTTAGGGCTAAGGATGTCGGATGTATGTTTGGTTTCGGGTTCCTTTAGCCCCCAACACATGTCATGGAACAGGGTCTTTACTGGTTGAGCAAGGCTTTCGAAGGGCTTTTGTTTTAGACAACAAGGCTTTGGGTGGGTATTGGGATACTATATGGTATTATTATATCATTCCCAATTAGCCAGTCCCTTATGTTAAGCTCGAAAATGGGTCTTCTGTACTGTGTTAGCACGAATAGAGGCTAGTAACGCGGATCTAGGGAGGGCGTTAAAGGTTTTCGGGAATGATGGATCCGTCTTGGTGTTCTTGGGATCCCAGTATGTAGTTCATAGTTTGTTGGTGGTTGGGCCGTTAAGGCTTGGGGTTTAGGGGTTTCCTGGAACTATATAGTAAATACTCGTGCAATGTAAACTGTTGCCTGCATGCATACCATTCTGAGGCTGTATGAGCAGCTTTCGATGTTGATCTTGGGAGGCTTTGTCGCCTCGCGGGCTGCAGATCCATAATTCGAAGATCAGGGGACTTAGTAAGTGAATTGCAAGAACATAGAAATAGACGAAAGAGCACTCTGGGCGCATCCACATTCTGATGCTTTTGACCGAAGAGTCCAAGTACCTGATTAACATTTCTGAACATTTCCTGCCTCCAAACTACGTGCCTGAATTTTTAAAGGCTTACGGTTCGAACTTGGAACCCTAGGCCCTGAACCTAAACCCTAACCCCCAAACTCGAAACTGTTAACCCCAAGCCCTAGACCCTACACGCTACTAAACAATACTACACCCTACTACACCCTAATATGATTGTATGATTATCGGGTGTGTCGACCCTTGTAGGATGAGGGCAGGCACTACGATTTTAATACAACATGTGCCCAACAAGAAGTCTCACACAAACTCCTGCGGTGTAGGGCTTAGGGTTTTCAAGGTTCAGGGTTTAGGTGTTGTTCATCAGCCCTAAACCCATCCCGATAACCTGACAGACCTTCAATTCGAAAACCGCTTAACCCACAACTCGAAGAACCCATGTTTCAAATCCGTCTCGGCCACAAGATCATCCAACATCCAATATGGCGCTTTTGCAAAGTTTTGGAGCCCTAGCCCCAAGGGTCCAAACAGGAACCTACATAACTACTGTCCTAAACCCAAGTACCTTATTATTGGGTCCTTTGGACCGTTGGGGTAGTGTAATTATTGTCAGCAGGAACCCTAGCCCTCCGCCCAAGTTCCACAGCCCAAGCTGCGAATTGCAATCATTGAGTTACTTAGACCTGGCCCAGCCGAAACCATCAAGTCCACCTGAATTTCCTCAATAAAGCACCTGCTTTTTCAGGGCCAGAACCCTAACTGTTTTGAAATTTCAGCACGGAGCCCAGAACCCTTAACCCTAAACGAAAACCGAATTTAGGGATTTAGGACTGGTTTCAAGTTTTGGGGTTTAAGGTTAAGAGAATCAGGCCCTAGGGTCCTTCCGAGTGCACCTGGGCCTTTGTGTGGCCGCCACGTTGCCGCGAAGTCTCTGAGCCTCCCCGTGACTTCAGAAATCCCAAACTAAAAAGACCGGATTAGGGGTTTCGGGCTTATAGGGTTTTTTTTTAAGTGTAGTGGGGCCTTTTCTGCAGAAGGTCCGGCCGGATTTCGGCCTACACTGGCAGCACAGCTTATAGGGTTTAGGGATTAGGGTTTAGAGGGTTTAGGGTTTAGAGCTTCTAGGGTGCAGGCCAAACTGAAAAATCCGGGAGGGTTACCCTAAACCGTCGGTTCTTGTGGATGGGACTAACTTCAGGTAGCACAAAAACAAGTCCATATTCTTTGAGCTGAATCCCTATGTAGTTGAGTTCATCAGAAAGAAGCCGTACTAATTGGGTCATAGGCCTTAACCTGAAAAGGGTTTGAGGTTCAGGAATCAAGCCCTTGAGGGTGCACTATAAAGGTCTGAAGGCATAGAGATGACATGCCCCCGCCAAACAGCCGCTGTAGAAATATGCTACAACATACCCCCCGCCCCCACAACAAACATCACAGTATTCAGCCCCGTGGACGATGAATCGGGCATCAGAGAAGCAAGACTCATGAGTCGAGTGCAATTCAGTACAGATGGCTTCAGTTTTTCAGGAGCCTAAGCCCTTAAACTCCTACTGTAAATACATCCTGAATCCAAGGCTTAAGAACCCCAAGCCCTAAACATTCAGTCCCTTTCGTCTTACCGGTCTGAACACACAAATCCCAGAGAGTCTCTATACAAAGCTCTCGAAAGCTTCTAAGTTCCCAAGTTGATAGAGTCATTTCATGTAAGATAGCATAAGGGGACAGAATATTTCGAACAGGGGGTAGGTTATCTTACAACGAAAGCTTGTAGTAAGGAAAAAAGGAATTCTCAGGAATAAGCTTATCCTGCATTACACATAGTAAGGCGTATACCATCATTCCCATAGTCTATAGCATCAATGCACCCCTACGCCCGAAACCCCTAAACCCGTAAACCATGATCTACGCAATCTTGTGAACGATCTGTGCAATTTTGTCGCCAGCTATGCGTATAAGCCCGGATTTGGAGGTTTGGCCATCTACGGTCGATTGGTGAGTCCATAAAACCCCAAAACTAAGGACTTGACTTGTAACATCTTCCTGGGCAAACAATTCCTTACCTAGCAAGGATCTGGAGCAACAGGGCAAGTCTAAGGTGTTCGGGTTCGTCAGGGGTTAGGGTGAATCTAGTGCAAATTCGCTCCCGGACTTGCCCGCTGCAGCACCGTGGGTGTTTTTTTGAGATGTGCGGTGGGTGGAAACCGTGCTCCTGGCACATGTCTCGCGGTTATCTTGATCTATACACCGTTCGAAGTCGCGGTCTACTCGGCTCCTCATTCACGCTTCATACGAATATCATTCGGAATTGCTCAACCAAGACGCCGTGCTCGACAACCTGAATCAGCTTCGTGTCAGCAGGCCACATGGTCTCGCCAGTTCGAACGTTGTACAGGTAATGGCCTTCCACGCTTCCTGATGTGAAGGTCATTAGACATACAGTCATTCTCAACAAGTAAAGGAAACCACATAAGAAACCATATAAGATGCGTAAGTAGTCATAGCCAATAGCTACAAAGTAGTACATTCCAACAGTAACGCAAAAACTGTCATTATACCCGCGGTATGAGAGTAACAAGCTACACCATCCCGATCGAGGTGCTCGAGCTGTGGAACCTCTACTTGGAGGGTCGGGGGACTTAGTAACTGGTTATTTTAGGGACTTATAAGTACCATAACCCCAGTTAGGGTCCCTATAAGTCTACGTATTACCTACTTACTAAGTCCCCCGACCCTCCAAGTATCGAAACCCCAACCATGGTCCTGACAAATTTAGAACCCTCATCATCCGAAGCCCCTGAACCTACCCTAAGGGTCCAACGGTTGATGATATAAATCCTGCATTACCTTAAGGACCCTACACTATGGGAATTATGGTATATTCCTTATTATGGGTAATGCAGGATTTGAATCATCAGCCGACGTACCGAATTATCATATACTCTCCCAAATAGTAACCTACATAACTAGTATCCTAAGCCCAAGTACCTAATTATTATTTTTTTTTGGACCCTTAGGGCTAGGCTCACACCATGCCTTCAACCCTCAACGTTGAACCTAAACCCCTAAAACCGAAACTCGATCCCCTCCAGCCAATAGCTTGAGCTGCGAGCTTCGAAGGGTGGCGAACTTCCAGGAACTCCTTTGCCATATGCCTTCGGCAGAGAGGGTCTTTGGATTTAGGGTTTAGGTTTATGGTATATATACTGAAGCCCATCAAACATCTCCTCAAATAAAATTACATGTACAATCAGACATACATATACATGTATATTCACATACACCTGTATGGTTCCGTATATATATATATATACATACATACACACATACACATACACATACATATATATATATATGCACATGGTATGCTTATCCGAAATGCAAACACCCCACGACCGTAGTGTTTAAGCTCTGGAGCTACCGGTAAAGCTTTGCAAGGCCTTCAGATTCGGAACGCCTAAACCGAATATCGAACTGAGAGGCTTCAGGGCTTTGGTCATGCGATGCCGGGACAAGCCCTGAAGTAAGCGGCTACATAGGGTTTAGGGTTTAGGATTGAGGGTTTAGGGTTTAGGGTTTAGGATTTAGGGTTTAGGGTTTAGGGGCTACAGTGTTTGAAACTGATTTCTTGTTCGCCGGCTCAAAACACGAGGAAGCCTAAGTAAAAGGCTTTGGCGAGTAAGTTTTGTCTCGTAGTCAAACCTAAGCCCCAAAGCCTTCACCTCTGTAAACCCTAAACCTTGAACCCTAAACCCTTGGCCCCGTCATGGGATTCTTAGCTTTGGGTGCGACTTCATGCTCCTCAGCATCATGCTGGGCCTTGAACTTCAAGGTGTGCAGAAACGGGCCGATGGCGATCTCTTCCCAAGAGACTCCAATATCCCTTAATCAAGGAATATACCTTAAATCAGATTAGGGATCCTACTATAGATTAACGGATCTTCTTTAATGAAGGGATATTGGAGTCTCTGGGTTCTTTTCTTGAGCAGTGGGATCCGTCCAGAGGACTTGGCATTCTCGGACAGGATGTGGCTCATGTTCGCACGGTCCTCATCCTCGAATTTGGGAGGTGTGCTCGCATGGCCCTATCCATAACTCTCGGTCGTCCGCCTTCCACTTGTGATTGAACCCTAAACCCTGGATGGTTACGTAGGTTTCCCAACTATGATTTCCCTTGCAAAAGTACTTGCAAGAAGGTGTTTTAGGGTTTAAGGCTGAAGGTATGACGCCTGGGTTAATAGTTTAAAAGCCCAAAGGTGCACCGAAGCTATTTAAGAGGCTCCTTTTTCGCGGTCAGGCGAAGGGTCTAGGGTTTCGGGTGAGTTCACGGTTGGGCAGAAGTCATTCAATTATCCCACGGGTCCATGTGCCCAAACAAAAAACACTTCGGCCTTGAAGTTATCCTGAGACCAGTTCATGGTTGGGATAGGATTAAAACTGTATATTATTATTCCTTATTGGGTCTAAGTACCCATAAAAATGTAAAGTGCTACCCAACTATGACAAAGAATATAGGTATGTTCACGTAAGTCTTAGTCACCAAAATCAAGAAAAGTGGGTATCATAGAGCTATGACTACAGCTTCAACTGATTTCCTCCCCTATGACGATGTAACCCCTAAACCCCTAAGACCTACACCCCGACACCCCCAACCCTGCACCCCAAAGCGTAGATAACCCCCAAACCCTAAAACCCCTATCCTAAACCCGGAACCTAAAATCTCCGAAACCCTAAGACGAGGCGAGACGATGCAGTTAAGCTGCTCGGGCGTCCAATCGAAAGGCTCGGAGTTCAAGAGGAAAGTTGCAGGGACCTCGGGTCTTCCGGTTTTGTAGGGGGTACTTGGAGGGTTGGGAGACTTAGTAGGGCTCCTTAAAGGGATTCTTTAAAGGGATCTATAGGGGGATTATCAGGAGAGGGTCGGGGGACTTAGTAAGTAGGTAACAAGTAGAGTAGATTAGGTACTGCCCCCATACAGTAATAGTCTATAATAATAGGGCTGCTATTAAGGTCCTAATATATTATGAATTTAGGGCTTTTAGGGCTTAGGAAAAAGGGGTACTTGGAGGGTCGGGGGACTTAGTCTGCAGGTAACAGGCAGAGTTATAAGTACCCTAAAATGGACCCTAATTGGGTTATGGTACTTATAACTCTCTAAAATCACTACGTAGTAAGTCCCCCGACACTCCAAGTAGAGTTCTTGTGTTTCAAGCGTGCTCATGTAAGACCCTCAGCCTGTAAACGGTGAACCCTACCCAGAGGCTCCATAGTTATTCCTTTTGGTCCCTTTTAGAATCCTATAACCCTAAGGGCCCAAGTACCTATAATAATCATATACTCTCCTAAATATTGAGATGCATAATCTAAACCCAAGTACTTAATCATCGGGTCCTTTGGACCCTCAGGGTAAGGTAACCCCAAAAAGGAACTACTACTGTTGATGATATAAACCCTGCATGACCCATAATAAGGAATATACCATAATTCCCATAGTTTAGGGTCCTTAAGGTGATGCAGGATTTATATCATCAACCGTATTACGGTTTAGGGTTGAGGGTTTAAAGTCTCTATCGCTTTGGGGGTTCAGGTTTAGGTTTTAGGGTTTAGGGTTTCCCTTAAATTAAGGGTACGTACCGAAGGCTGCAGGGCTTTAGCGGTTTCCCTATGGACTTATGAGGTCTCTACATAGGTTGGATTTCGATCATCAGCCGTATGGAGCCTATGGGCAGACCCTAAATCCGAAGCCTCCCACACCAAACACACATCAGCAGACTGAGTAAGCTAGTACGAAGTTAGGCTCTGGGTTAAGGGTTAAGGGTTTAGAGTTTAGGGTTTAAGGTTTAGGGTTTGGAGTTTAGGGTTTAGGGATTAGGGTTTAGAGTTTCGGGTTTAGGGTTTAAAGTTTAGGGATTAGGGTTTAGAGTTTAGGGAGTAGGGTTTAGGGTTTCGGGTTTAGAGTGTAGGGTTTAGGGTGTAGGGTTGTCAGTCGGGGGCTCGGTGAGGAAAAGAAACGTCTCACCCTCTCAGACCCCAAAACCCTAAACCTTGGGTACTGCCCCGATACAGTAACAGTCTTTAATAGGGCTACGATTAAGGTCCTAATATATCTATACTATGAATATTATCCAACTGTTACTGGGTGGGGGCAGACCCCAAAACCTTAAACCTAAAACACACATCCTGAGCCCTTAACCGGACACCCTGCAATTAGGTACTGGGGCTGAGGATCATCATGCTGCTAGTTCGGAGGCATACGCTTTGTCCGTGAAGTGGTTTGTGTCCTAGGGTAAAAGGAGGGACCCTTAATAAGGACCCCTAGGTATATACCCTTAATATAGCTATTCTATACCCATTATATAGCCCATTATAAAGTAGGGATCCCATAAAGGGTCCCTCCTTTTCCCCTTTGATTGTGGGCTGGGGGCAGTTGGGGAGGGTAGGATCTTCAGGCCTTTGGGTTGTCAGTGTTCCCCAAAGGGTCCAAAGTACTGGTATGGGGGATACTTCCCCAAATCATAATAGTAATTCCTAATATCGAACCCCCGACATTCTACTATAAAGGTACTTTGGACCCTTTGGGCTCGTAATTATATACATAAGGCTTGAAAGGGCTCCCATAAAATTCGCATCACAACGGGTAAACATATTGCGTATAGGCTGGACCCTCCAACCTATGTAGACCTCATGTGTCCAGAAGGAAACCGCTAAAGCCCTGGAGCCTTCGGTACGTACCCTTAATTTAAGGGAACCCTAAACCCTAAACCCTAAACCCAGAGCGGATAGTAGTTATGTAGCTCAAAATTTCGGAGAGTATATGATTACCCTAAGGGTCCAAGTACCCACATAATAGGGCTTCAAGGTCCAAAAACCACTCAGAGCATAAATTTGGTGCCTGAAACCCTACTATTTGGGTACTTGGACCCTCTGGGTTAATTTAAGGGAAACCCTAAACCCTAAAACCTAAACCTGAACCCATAAAGCAATAGATACTTTTAACCCTCAACCCTAAACCGTAATACGGTTGATGATATAAATCCTGCATTACCTTAAGGACCCTAAACTATGGGAAATATGGTGTATTCCTACTTATGGGTCATGCAGAATTTATATCATCAACCGTATGCACTCTAAACCCCAAACCCCTAAACCCTCAAGTACACTCTAAACTAAACACTCAGGGCTGGACCAACTCCAGGATATGGAGCGACTGATCTGCATGGCGATGCTGGCGAAGCACATGGTTGAAGACCATGCACACCTGCAAGGCTTGACCCTAAAGGTCCAAAGGACCCAATAATTAGGTACTTGGGATTAGGATAGTAGTTATGTAGCTCAATATCTACCTGGGGATCCAAAGCCTGAAAAATAGTCGGGTTGTTTCGAAGACCCCGTGTTTCGAAAGCATGTTCCCGCAGACCCCATGTCTTGATTTGAAACCCCGGGGTTGCTGGGGCATCCTTCTTCATCCCATATGATAACTTATCTTAGGTCTAGTTTCTCAATTTATGACGTTGGAAACCAACCAATAAGACCTTGATTCCGAAGCTTCCACAGGCCTCGCGCAGGCTCACACAAGATGGAGGAGGCTCTCGTAGGAAGGCACGAGTCCGGTTCATCTTTCGTAGGAAGACACGAGCACGATTCATCAGTTCATGGGTTTTAACATTGGCTTATAAGCACAGTCTAGCAATCCAGATGTTGTAAATATGGTAAAATAAAGCTTCAGCGAGACAATGGCCGAAGCGACAGCGTGCCGCAGATGGCGTGTGAATGAACGGTCGAGGTCTCAGCCGTGCATGTTGTTCAGCCAAGACTGGAAACGATCAGTGAGGAGATGCTGCTTGCTACCGCGATTTTTCCTAAGCTCAAGGGCGTAGGTTTTTCTTATCATCCTGGTGGCCATGCCTCGAAATAACAAGTCGCAGGCCGCTGAGTTTACTGGTGAGGCTGCAGAGCCGGGGCTGAATATCGAGGACATCCATGTAGCTTGGGACGGAAGCCCTGATGTGCGACAGAGATTGCGCGATGGTCATGGTTGCATGCATCCCCGCAGCGGCCTGTCGTGCGACAACAACGTGTGCAAACTGAATGCTCCTCTCTTGCTTCCGATTTTGCATAGCATGTCGGAAAACCACCAGAAGAAACTGCCCAGTGTGGGCGACCTTCGAAACGAGTTGAGCAAGATTTTCACCGTGAACAAGCGCGTCGGGAGCGACATCCAGGGCTTGATTCAATCAGAAGCCATCCACGTGCGGAAGCTTTTGTCGTTCGTCAAAGCAAAAGTTCGACGATCCGAAGTGAGCAAGGCTCTTCGGCAGCATGCGAGATAAGCAAATATTTTAGGTTCATGTGTGCGTTGAAGCTTGGCGAGCCAAATTCTCTTTCATTCTCTCAGGATCCTGATTTCCAAGAGCTTTGCTTGGCATTGGACCCGGGCCTTCAGGCTGGCTTGGGCTTGCATACATATCATAATACTGAATTATTTTGTTCCGGATTCTGCTAGCACTTACACAAGCCCTGAAGCAACCCTATTGAGAACCCTCGCTCCCTTGAAAAAGGCCGGCTAATCCCGTGCTAGATAAGTCACCCCACCCACCCTCATTTTTCTCTATTGCAGGCTGTTGTGGATGCCATGAATGCCCGGAAGAAGGTCGCGGAAGAATCCTGTCAGGCCGGGTTTGCCACCAATTAAAGGGTTTGCTTCGGATGTTTGGGGTCTTAAGCTTCTTGCGATCAGTTTGAGTCGTGCAGGAATCGGATGAGGATGCTTACGAGGATGCGGCACAAGATGAGGAAGAAGCCGAGGGCGCTCCAGAGGCTACAGAAAGCATCCCAGACCCTTCCGATGAGCCTGCCCCTGCAATTGCCCCGAAGCCCGCAGAGCCTTCGATCCCCAGCAAAGCCACTGCTGCTCCTTCCTTGAATGTTGGCGGTGCCCCGGTAGCTACGCCCCAAGCACGCATAGCCCACCATGCCAGCACCCCGGAGCCCAAACAGAAGTTCGCATCACCCGGACCAGCAACGCCCAGCCCTGCAATCTCCAAGATGCCAAGCTTTTCTTCTGAATCCGAGCCTGAGCTGCCTTCGAATCCAGCAAAGGACACCAAGTTGTTACAAAAATCCCAACTTTATGGACCCTAAGTAAATTTATATAACGCCTATACCCAATTAAGACACTGTCCATATAAAAGGAGACTCCGGGCAAGAAGACCTGGACCCCTACCCCGAGTCCGGCTCCTTCGTCTTCAGCAGGCCATTCTCGCAGCCTAAACAAGAGCTCGTGTTGTGCAATCAGCTTAGGTCTGCGTGCATGATCGAGTTTCCGACTTTCTAAATTTGAAGGCTCTCGCCTTTCGGAGCAAGATCGTGCCGCAATCAAGGCTAGAGTGGCAGCTTTGAAGGAACGATTGTCGTTGCAGTGAGCTGGTAGCTTCAGCCAAGGTTTTTGTTTATTGTCGCCGGAGTTAGTGACATTAATCAAGTCTGCAAAGCTCTCGATCTAGGGTGGAGCCTAAATAAGGTCCCGAAGCACGGAGACCGCTGGCAGAGCCCCTCCTTCCGAATCTACAGGACGTTCAAGAATTGTCGGGGACTTTGAGTAATTTATAAATATAGATTATATATACAAGTACCTTGTTTGTTATTGTCCGATAATCACCCCGAATCCAAGCCCGGAGCCCCAAGATGCAAGCAGGACCGGCGAGTAACCATTCGTCTTTCGGCAGCGCTTCCGACGACACCCAGCCCTGGGATGTTATGGCTGGTGCCGAGGCACTCGATACAGACATGCCCGATGCAGCTGCGCCGCTGCCAGATGCCAATCCTGGGACGGAGGCTTCAGTGTCGAATCCCATGCCGTGCACAACGCCGGTTTCGAATCCAGTGCCTCCAGCAGCACCAGTTGAGAGCCCAGTGGGCGATGCAGCGCCAGTTTCCAATCCAGTGGGCGACGGCGACGATGCTGCCCCAGGTCCTGCCGAATTCACTGAGAGCGACGGCGAGGCTTTCTTCTCGAATGATTAAGCAACTGCTTATGTAGAGGGTGTTGGTTTGCTTATGTATGGGCTTCGTACAAAAGGATTTGTATGTTTGGTTTTTATATACTATACAGGCTTCACGTACATGGGTTTCGTTAGTTAAGGGCTCTTATGATCAATAGGTGGGCATAAAAGGACTCCCTAATAGAGAGATTGTGTTTACTGGTTTGTGTACCCGATTGGCCCTCAAGAAGCCGGCTCCGATCACGAGACGGTCCCAGTTGATCTTGCGATCATCTCTCAAGAAGAAGCGGAAGTACGACGGCGACGATGGTGCTGATGCTGAGGAAGCCAAGTCGGCGAAGAAGAGCAAGAAGAAGCGAAAGGCCAAGAAGACTCGAAAGGGTCGTGTGTCTCGCAAGAGGGCCGTGCTCAAACGCGGCCACACGTATGAAGAGCCGCCTGAGGAAGATGATGGTGCGGAGGCTCCGGAGACGGAGGAGGCCGCGGAGCCTGCGAAAGCGAAGGCGAAAGCCGGCCCGAAGGCGAAGGCGAAAGCGAAGGCGAAAGCGAAGGCGAAAGCGAAGGCGAAAGCCGGCGCGAAGGCGAAAGCGAAGGCGAAAGCGAAGGCAAAGGTAGCGGCAAAGCCCAAGGCTAAGAGCAAGGCCGACAAATCCAAAGAGGAGACGCCCGAGCCGGCGCCAAAGCGCAGGGGTCGGAGGCCCAGGGTTCCGGCAAGCTCCTCGGGACGTGCGCCGGTCTTGACCGTGGAGCAGGCCCTTGAGAAGTACTTCGAGGTTGAGAAGCTCGAAGACTTGCGAGATCAGATGCTGAGCTTCGCCCACAAGTTCGAGAATGCCACGTGCACAGCGCAGTGGAAGTTCAAGATGAAGGGCGAAATGAATGAGACCACTCATCATGGCCAGACCCACTACTGGACGAGGTGCGGCACTGGAGTTCTGAGGAAGTGCGACAAGAAGGAGATCGTGAACTACTCCTGTGCCGTTGGTGCGTCTCGCGATTTGGATTGGGCACAGAAGATGTCTGTGGTGATGAAAGCCTGCGAGATGTTCGCGATGTACTTGGATTGCATGCTCGAGGACCGCTACCTCACGGAGGGGGCTTACGATCACGAGTGCATCGAAGTGACACAGATGAGGGAAGGCATCCGGGATATGATCGGTAGTGCGCTGTCTGAGTTGGCCAGCGCCACGAGCTGAGCAGCAAGCAATGCCGGTTGTTTTGTTCCGATGTTCGCGAAGCTGGATATCTTTAGATGCTGCGCTGGCATCATGTACATGGCATCGAAAGGGAACCCAAGTTGCTGAACAACTTGTGCGGTGGGAGTCGATCAAACTGTACAGGTGCATAGGCTGCAGATACAGGGTATAGAGCAGGATTATATCGGAACGTTCCAGACTTGTGTTCTGACTTGGTATGTTTCCTAGATAGAAAACTCTATCTAATTTAGTTACCTCACAAACCTCCTTAGATCTAGTATAGGGTTTCTTTGGGGTCGAATTTTCATAGCCTCCCTCGCTGGCATCTAGCACCATTCCTGAGATCCTACGCGAGTCTGGGACTTTTGCGGCAGTTCACGCTTGCTTTTGCTCCTACTAATCGTGTGCGCAGAGTCATGATAGAGGTGATGTACATATACTGTGTTGATACTAACTTACTGTTGTTTCCCGTGTCCTTTGCACACATGATCTTGTTCCCGGGCAGCGATGCGATCCTCGCGAAGACGTCCGCCGAAAAGATGATCTATCTAACCTGAGGTTGCGCCGAGCATCACTTTGCGCCGAGCATCACTTTGCGATTTGGGTTCGCAATCATAAAGAAATTCGTCGTCGAGGAGTTTTGTTGGACGCTTGATAGACCCAGAGGCTTTGTCTTCGAAGCCCGAGGTACACACTTAGGTTGGGGATTGATATGTCTAGACCCAAAGGCCTTGTCTTCGAAGCCCGATCGAGGTACACACTTGGGTTGAGCTCCGGGCTTCCAACTAATTAGGGTGCTTAGATCCGGTCCGTCACAACACCAATCGAAAATGGTCCCAGGATTATATAGTCTCCAACACCCGAGCCCTATGCAAACCTTATACCCAAAAACTAAGCACCTTGTACCCAATAACTAATCAAACCCTAGCCCCCCCAAAAAAATTCCAATCGCTTCATCGCCCAGGTCCGGATGCCCCTTCTGCCGAAAGGTGCGTTGTGGAAGCTTCGTCTCGCCAGCCAGAAGCAGAAGAGTCCTGCAGCCACATGTTATTTTGGGGCCG